AAATATATTTTTAATTCTAAAGAAATTTAAAAAAAAAATATTATAAAAAGCTTTATTTATAAATATGTTGATAATATACAAACATAAAAATGGACTTTTGTTAAAAACTTTTATTAATTATCAGAATATAATTTTTTAATTAAGAAACCAGTGTCGTCATTATTATGAGCAACATCTTGAAGCATCACTAGGGGTGTCAGATTATATTTTGTGCTAAATTTTGCTGGAAGTATTGCGATAACTTTAGTAAACGTGCACCGTTAAAATTATATTCTCATATGTTCTTACTTAGTCTAATCTACTTTTTCTTTCTACTATCCCAGCAAAAACTCGGTGAAAAAGGTAAACCCTTGTACTTCCATAACCACTTACTTTTCAATGACCACAACTTACCATCTGCATTACTTAGTAGTACTCTAGTAATGACTTTCTTATAATCTGATATAGAAGTACCTTATTTTCGGCTTTGTCATTTTGTTTGCACATTTTATTTAATTGCGTGTTAAGAATTGTGTTTTACAAAAAAGAAAAGAAAATTATATTTGTATGTATTTTTAATATTTTTATTATTAAACAAGTTAGAGTGCTATATTCGGCTGAGCCGAATCTTAAATACCCTCCACCAGCTACTTTTATATTAATACTTTTTTAATTGATCATATATTTGAAATAAGTTTTCTTATGTCTTAGATAGAAAAACTCCAAGATTTAAACAGCTTAAATCTGTTATAATTCCAAGATTTATTGAATATTACAAACCCCATTTTCTTTTATATTTTTATAGCGCCCTAAGATATGCTTTAACGATATTTAATGTGCATGTATGCATGTGTGTGAATGATTTAAGGATTTTCAAAATACATATATATATAATTTTGTTCTACACAAATTGATAATGCAACTAGTTAAATACGGTTACATTGCTTTTAGGAGCAGGACCTAGTAGGGGAGATATGACCAATTATAGACCGATCGTAAAAAATTCTTTAAGCAAAATTTCTGTACATAAAAGCTATATTTCAGTCAAATTTTGTATCTATATCGTAATTTAGTAATAACTAATGTGTGTTCAGGTGATTTTCTGAAGGGACACTTGCATGGCACCGACCGCACCCATATTATGGACCGATCTTGAAAAAATCTTGAAATATAATTTTTGTATACCAAACTAATATTTGTGCCAAATTTTGTATCAATAGCTTTATTTGGTAATGAGTAATGTGCGTTTAAGAGATTTTCGTAAAAGGACCTTGTATGGGAGCTATGACCAATAATGTATATAAAGACAAAATTTCAAAATTCTGTATCTATATCATTATTTGGCAATAAATATTGTGCATTTAAGTGATTTTCTGGAGGGGACCTAGTATGAGAGCTATGACCAAATATGGACCGATCGTAAAACAATTTTATAGTGTAATTTATTTATATAAGAGCAATATTTGTGCTAAATGTATGGATATCAATATTTTGTAATGAGTTATGTGCGTTTCAGTGATTTTCGGGAGGGGACCTTGTATGGGAGCTATGACCAATTATGGACCGATCGGAAAAAAAATTCACAGTAATATTCTGTGCATATGAGCAATACTTGTACCAAATTTTATGTGGATATCTTAATTTAATAATGAGTTATGTTCGTTTAAGTGATTTTCGGGAAGGGACCTTGTATGGGAGCTATGACCAATTATGGACCGATCGGAAAACTTTCATAGTAATATTTCTGTATATGTGAGCAATAGTTGTACCAAACTTTATGTGGATATCTTAATTTAGTAATGAGTTATGTTCGTTTAAGTGATTTTCGGGAGGACACCTTGTATGGGAGCTATGACCAATTATGGACCGATCGGAAAAATTTCACAGTAATATTTCTGTACATATGAGCAATACTTGTACCAAATTTTATATGGATATCTTAATTTAGTAATGATTTATGTGCGTTTAAGTGATTTTCGGGAGGGGATCTTGTATGGGAGCTATGACCAATTATGGACCGATCGGAAAAAACTTTCACAGTAATATTTTTGTGCATATGAGCAATACTTATTCCAAATTTTATATGGATATTTTAATTTAGTAATGAGTTATGCGCGTTTAAGTGATTTTCGGGAGGGGACCTTGTATGAGAGCTATGTCGAATTATGGACCGATCCAGAAAATTTTTTCTCTAAATGAATTCTATTGATATAGAATTTTAATTTGTAAAATTTTGTGAAGATATCAACATTCTGACGGAAGTTATTAACAAAAAACTCATTTTGCGGGAATATGTACTTTTGTATGGGAGGTATATGAAATTATGGACCGATTCTGGTAATTTTCAGTAGGAATCAAGATCTTGTGTAGAAACGAATGTATGATGACTTTCATGAAATTATCTTGCATAGTTTTCGAGAAACTTACTTTAGAATGTGTAAAAAATGCTTATTTTTTCGGAGTTGTTTTAAATTTTGATTCATAACTTTTCCCGATGTGAACCGATTTTGCTCATTTTCAATACCAAACTGTACCGGATAATAATGAATATTTTTGATTCGTTTTAACGTGAGCGTGTATTACACAGACAGACAGACGGACAGACGGACGGACGGACGGACGGACATAGCTAAATCGACTCAGAATTTCATAAGCACCCAGAATATATATACTTTGTTGGGTCTCAGATGAATATTTCTTGGTGTTACACACGGAATGACAAACTTATATATACCCTCTATCACCACTGATGGTGGTGGAGGGTATAAAAAAAAACAACTTACTCAACATTTGTTCTGTAAGAGAAATTGCAAGTACTTCTTTAACTCCCTATTTGTAAGCGAGCGTAGAAGTACTTGCCTCCAATGACATCACCGTGTTAAAATAATGATTTGTCTCATGTGCAAATCGAGGAATAGGTGTTTGTGTTCTAAAAATGTAAACAAAACGGGGCTCTGACTACCGAACTTAGGCGGTATAATCTTCACATTTGCACGGAGGAAATACCGTTGCTCCGCGTCGGCCTGGCAGCTCCAGCGCCAGGATCGAATGCACTAGCCCAATCAGCTAGTCATCTTAAAACTACTTGATTACTGAAACCACAACAAACAAAAATAACAATCAAACTGATCAACCGATGCCGACTTATGGAATGGAATTGAGGATACGATTTTGAAGCTGGAATGTAAGAACGCTTCTGGAATCTTCGCAACTGGCACAAGTTAGCAGAGAATGACGTGCATATGATGTCGAAGTTCTTGGTCTCTCTGAGACTAGCTGGCCAGAGTCAGGCGAGATGAAAACACAAAACGGACTCACTTTTCTATACTCAGGTAAGGCATCTAACCAACCAAGAAGTTTTTTATTATATACATGACCTCGGAAAGCCCTTGTCAGCTGGAAACCACACTCTGACAGAATTATATCTGTCAGAATACGTACACGTGCCATGAAAATGACGATAGTACAATGCTACGCTCCGACTAAAGTATCCGAACTGGATCAGAAGGTTGAATTCTACGAAGAGCCTGGGTTTTAGCGTCCCCTCGTAGGGGTGATATATTGGTTTTAATGGGAGATTTCACAAAAGTATATACATATATTCTGGGTCCTTATTAAATTCTAAGACGATCTAGTCATGTCTGTCCATCCGTACGTCCGTCTGTCTGTTGAAAGCACGATAGAGTCCGAACGGAAAGAGCTAGAGAATTAAAAATTTCCACAAATATTTCTTATAGGTAAGGCCACGTTTTCGCATAGCCCCTATACAAATAGCCCTCCGAAAAGCAGCTTTAACAGTCATAACTGTTTTAAAAATGTGAGTATAGCGATAAAATTCAACATAAATAAGTTTTATATAAGCCAAATTCATTCTACCAAATTTTATGATGATCGGTCTATAATTGACCCTCATATATGGTCCCCTCCAAAAAATGACTTTAACGCCCATTACTGACTTAAAAATACGAGTCTAGCGCTGAAATTCAATATAAGTAAGTTTCATACGATCTAAAATCTATTTACCGAATTTTATGAGGATCGGTACATAACTTACCCTACCCCCATATATGGCCCCTCTCAGAAAATGACTTTAACGCACATTACTGGCTTAAAAATGCGAGTATAGCTGTGAAATTCCATATACAGAAGTAATTTTCTTACAAGCCAAAATCTCTTTACCGAATTGACCCTACCGCCCATATATGTTCATGGTTTAAAAGTTGTACAAAAATATTTTGTTTTTAAAAATTAATATTTTGTTAATCCGAAAGGGATGTGTTCATAATTGACTTAAGTCCTATTTCAAATATCAACCTAATGTTTATAGGGAGCATTCCACTTACGGCATACGGTTTGATTATGGGCATATAAGATTCGGTATAGTCGAATATAACACTCTTACTTGTTCTATTTCACTACGTTTAGATCTTGTATGTGTATATTTGAATTTGTGATCCTTCTATGAATCTTTGAAACTTCCTACATTGACGCTGACGCCATGACCGTTAATATATGAGATATACGGGGATATCTCCTTATATCCCTCCCTTCTACCTGATTTCATGACCAATCGTCATGAGACGAATTTTATCGATATACTTGAATTTTAGGGTATATTGGGTTTGTGCTGATGTTTGTAACGCACAATTGAAATTGGTCGAGATCGGTTCATTATTTCACCTAGTCCCCATACAACGGAACCCCCAGAATAGGTCTTTTGAGCAAAAAGTGGTACAACTAAGTTTTATACTTGCCCAATTTTGAACTGATCGTCCCTTACTTGACCATAGACCTCACAAAGAGACTACTTCAGAAAGTGAGTCCACAATTCGCTTAAAAGGCAAATGACGCAATGTAATTCAGCATAAATACATTTTATTTCAACATAGATCAAACCACCAAATTTTATGAGAATAAGTGCACATTTTCCCCCAGACACTATATAAAGCCTCATTTTTAGAAAATTAGTTTTTAATCAACAAATTGCTTAAATATATCTTAGGAATTTAATTAAAATTCTCTTAACTTTTGTAGGTTGGCCCAACTATAATTTCTTACTTTTTTATTTAGTTGAAATCAAAATTAAGTCTAAATTTATTTAATCTCACAAATACTTATAAATATCTTCTCAAATTATATTTCTTCGGTAACGTCATTTAAATGATGTGTTGCATCCGTATTACCCATAGCGACTTCGTAACGTTGACGATCTTTAGCATCGACCGGATACCAGTCATTTGGTCGACAACAATGCTGGAAACGTGTTTTTAATGTACCAATACCCTGGTACATGGAGCGTATGGCATAAAATGGTATAAAAATCCAAGGTAAAAGAACAAAAGTTATGCATATAAATTGAATGCCAGGAATAGATACGGCATGCTCCATCGATGCTATTGCTATAGCTGCAAGCTATTAAAAAATATTATTTTAAGTTTAAATTTTTTTAATTAGTCTAATGTCTTTAAAATTAAAGTGAAATACTTACCAATGCCAGAAGCATAAATAATGGTACAACAAATCTCAGAAAATTTACTTGCCAGGTAGAGAAACGATCTTTTATCATAAATTCTATATCACGTTGAAAACGTATGCGACCATATATCCAAAGGACAATTAGTAATAATAATAAATTGATGGCATTTTGTGTGATATTGGAATCAATCCATAGTACACTAAAATAGTTGATTCCGTGCTATAAAAATAACATACTTAAATTAAACAAAACTCTATGATAATTCTTTCCACTTACATTTGAGGTAAAGTACAGGGAACACAAAGCAACCGCACCAGTAACCATCATACAAATCTCAGTTTTACGTTCTCTTAACGTATCAAACTCATCAAATATTGTAGTCAATGTCGAAAATAGTTGTATGATCTAAATTAAAGGAAATTTTATAAATTTTAAATATAAGCAAGTGACAAAAATTTGTTACTATCAAAAGTGTAGCTCCCAAAAACAGCATAAAAAAGAATAAAATGGACCATAAATTGGCCCATGCCATGTCGACCATAACACTGCCACTGGATAAGTACAAAGTCAAAATACGTTCCACACGCGAATAATAGTTGTTATCAGTTATTTCTACCAAATACAAAAACATTAGAAATTTCAGTTTTGCACGAATAGATATTTCCGATTCTTACCTTTAAAGTATCTCTCCGTTAAATGTGTTAGTAAACTTATTGCCACAATGATAAACATTTGTGCCAGACCAATTATCCAACTTGTTTTCTTAATGTTAGTTTTAAATTTATTGAAACTAGAGAGTGTTATAAATAGACCCCAACCAGGACCAAAAGCCGATAAACCGTATATAGGAATCATGGTTATACCTTGAACATAATTTATCCAAGGTGGTATTATCACTTTTCGATAAACTGCTCCAGCTCCTGGTAGGAAACTAAAACGTATCAAACATATTACCAATAAACAAATAAAAATTCGAACGCTATAGCGTATAAGTTGACCCATCTGGAAAAAATTAAGGGTTTAAAACTTATTATTATAGAAGACGATTTAAAAAATGAAGGTATATGTATATTGTTTTTGTTATCTATATATATATAAAAATGAATGTGTGTCTGTTTGTATGTTTGAACGTTATAGACTCTAAAACTGCTGAACCGATTTTCTTGAAATTTTCACAGCGTATTCCTGTATGTCTGGAATAGGTAATAGGCTACTTTTTATTTTGAAATTTCAAGTGGGCGAGGTGCCACGCCCATATTATAAAATATTAAATCCGTATATTTGAGATAATATAACAGTTAGAGTCCTCAAATTTTGTCGGAGTCACTTTAGTTGTCCTAAATAATCATTATTTAGGACAAAAAGTAGGCGGAATAGCATTAGGGGGCGTGGCACCTTCCATATAAATTAAAAACAAAAATTCGTTTATCTTAGAAACAATTACAGTTAGAATCTTAAAATTTTGCACAAATAACATTAACATCCATGTTAACATTTTGGGAAATAAATTGGCGGACTACCCATGAGGGGAGCGGCACCTCCCATATTAATTAAATGCAAAAATTCGTTTATCTGGGAAACTAATAGAAATAAATTCTTCAACTGTTGCACTAAGAACTTAAATATTCGTCTGAACATGAAAAAGATCGGACTTCTATCTGGGAGGGCTTGGAGCCCCCATATGAATTAAATAGAAAAATTCGTATATCTGAGAAACTATTAGAGCTAGAATCTTCAAATTTTACTTGAAGAACTTTGACATTCATCTGAACAATTAGAGTATAACGGGCGGACTTTCAATGGGGGACTTGGTACCTCCCATATTAATTAAATAAAAAATTTCGTTTATCTGGGAAACTAATAGAACTAGATTCTTCAAATTTTGCACAAATTACTTTAATATTCATCTAAACATTTTGGAGAGAAAGGGCGGGCTTTTATCTTGGGGGCTTGAAACCCCCACATAAATTAAATAGAAAAATTCTTATATCTGAGAAACTATTAGATGTAGAATCATTAAATATTACATGAAGTACTTTGACATTAATGTGAACATTTAGGGAATAATTGGCGAACTTTAAATGCCGGACTTGGCACTTCCCATATTAATTAAATACAAAAATTCATTTATGTGGGAAACTAATAGAACTAGATTCTTCAAATTTTGCATAACTGAACATATTGGGGGAAAATGAGCGGACTTTCATATGTGGGGAGTGGAGCCCCCACCCACACTGGGTACAGCTAGTTTTATATAAAAAGATCGTCACCTTAATATATTTTATTATATTAGTTAGTTAGTTAGTTAGTTAGTTAGTTAGTTAGTTAGTTAGTTAGTTAGTTAGTTAGTAGTTAGTTAGTTAGTAGTTAGTTAGTTAGTTAGTTAGTTAGTTAGTTAGTTAGTTAGTTAGTAGTTAGTAGTTAGTTAGTTAGTTAGTTAGTTAGTTAGTTAGTTAGTTAGTTAGTTAGTTAGTTAGTTAGTTAGTTCGTTAGTTAGTTAGTTAGTTAGTTAGTAGTTAGTTAGTTAGTAGTTAGTTAGTTAGTTAGTTAGTTAGTTAGTTAGTTAGTTAGTTAGTTAGTTAGTTAGTTAGTTAGTTAGTAGTTAGTTAGTAGTTAGTTAGTTAGTTAGTTAGTTAGTTAGTTAGTTAGTTAGTTAGTTAGTTAGTTAGTTAGTTAGTTAGTTAGTTAGTTAGTTAGTTAGTTAGTTAGTTAGTTAGTTAGTTAGTTAGTTAGTTAGTTAGTTAGTAGTTAGTTAGTTAGTTAGTTAGTTAGTTAGTTAGTTAGTTAGTAGTTAGTTAGTTAGTAGTTAGTTAGTTAGTTAGTTAGTTAGTTAGTTAGTTAGTTAGTTAGTTAGTTAGTTAGTTAGTTAGTTAGTTAGTTAGTTAGTTAGTTAGTTAGTTAGTTAGTTAGTTAGTTAGTTAGTTAGTTAGTTAGTTAGTTAGTTAGTTAGTTAGTTAGTTAGTTAGTTAGTAGTTAGTTAGTTAGTTAGTTAGTTAGTTAGTTAGTTAGTTAGTTAGTTAGTTAGTTAGTTAGTTAGTTAGTTAGTTAGTTAGTTAGTTAGTTAGTTAGTTAGTTAGTTAGTTAGTTAGTTCGTTAGTTAGTTAGTTAGTTAGTTAGTTAGTTAGTTAGTTAGTTAGTTAGTTAGTTAGTTCGTTAGTAGTTAGTTCGTTAGTTAGTTAGTTAGTTAGTTAGTTAGTTAGTTAGTTAGTTAGTTAGTTAGTTAGTTAGTTAGTTAGTTATTTAGTTAGTTAGTTAGTTAGTTAGTTAGTTAGTTAGTTAGTTAGTTAGTTAGTTAGTTAGTTAGTTAGTTAGTTAGTTAGTTAGTTAGTTAGTTAGTAGTTAGTTAGTTAGTTAGTAGTTAGTTAGTTAGTTAGTTAGTTAGTTAGTTAGTTAGTTAGTTAGTTAGTTAGTTAGTTAGTTAGTTAGTTAGTTAGTTAGTTAGTTAGTTAGTTAGTAGTTAGTTAGTTAGTTAGTTAGTTAGTTAGTTAGTTAGTTAGTTAGTTAGTTAGTTAGTTAGTTAGTTAGTTAGTTAGTTAGTTAGTTAGTTAGTTAGTTAGTTAGTTAGTTAGTTAGTTAGTTAGTAGTTATCCTAGTCTAGTGTATGGTCTTGTATATGAACTAAACTTCGTACTAGTCTACATACTTAATAATTTGTGCTATTGGGACTATTTATGAAAGTTTGTAAAGGTTTTAAATCTTAAATAGAATTTTTGTATAATGTTTAATATGGGATAGATTCTACACGGAACCCAACTTTACAGCATGTGTTACAGAAATTTATATAGTTTTGCTGAAAATTACAAATATATTAACATTTATTTGAGATTAATGAACATCAAACAGAACCTCGAAAGAAGTTTTCATACATAAACTCATATCAGTTTAATTTAGTCTATAATGAATATCGGGCTAGGGTCAATTGTTACCCGATTTTCATCTTTTATACTTCAACTTCTGGGTACTAGTGCAAAACTTGAATATGATTCCAGCATAAATAAATTAGATATGTAAAAATATTTTGATACGTTTAAAAATGAATGACAAAATCAACATAAAAATTTGATACATTAAAGTCAACTTACCCTTTCTGCATCAAAAAATTTATAAATTACAAATGCCACTAAATACCAAAGTAAAATAGAGCATATCACCAACTGCCAGGACATATTAAATTCCAAATCATAAGATTCAAATAAGTTTTCATCATTAAAAATAGTTCTGTATTAAAAAACAATCATTATTACACTTAAAACTATTAAGAAAACACATAAAACTTACTTTAAATACAATACAGATGGTATATGATGATTAATATATTCATACATGGTCTCATTACTGGATCCACTATCATCATTGGTGGCATTTTCGAATTTTATATTACACAGCTTAAGAAAAGATAATTAATTAGGAAAAAAATTTTAATAATTATATTTTATACTTACATTGACCTCTTCTTCCTCAGTTAAGTTAACAGCCCATTTCTTAAGACCCTCACAGCTCCAGGGCAACGTGGGCTGCATGGAGGCAAACATATAGACCAGTGGTAATACAGCAAATATGCTATAGTACATAATTACAGATAAGTTTATGGCTAATGTTATGTAACCAATACCTAAAGTAGATTTATTATTAGAGAAATAGGTTTCTTAAGGGAATATATACATATATATTGCTCATTTACTACAAGACTGACTATACAAAATTTGGGTTTTTTTAATATACATACATACGTCATACCAAAGTCTTTCATACAGATTAAGCAAATTTCAATTTATCGGGAGGTCAGGTTGTATGGAATTTAGATGAGAAACTATCAGAACATTCAATGCCATTTTTCTCGAAACGACTTTTTCGAGAAAAAAAATTAGTAAATGAGCGATATATGTGTGTAGACAAGTTTTAATTGAATGTGGATCTTACCTTTGAATAAAGGTGCTATACGAAATGTTGATATATAACTACTGCTAGAAAACTGACCCAAAAATGATTGTATTACCATGAGTGGTATTGTATAAACAGCCAATGTTAGTAAATAAGTCGGTATTATGGCGGTATCTGAAATTAAGAAATAGGCATGAGTTACGGTATTTTAAAATACTTCTTTCTAAAACTGATTTCCGTTTTCTGATCCCAGCTTTTGAAAATGTGGCCCAAATTTAAATTTTGATCAAAATATGCTAAAATCGGTATGGATCTTACCATGTATTCAGGGCTCTTGCCAAATATATAAAAAGTAGGAAAGTATTGTCGGGCATGACCGACTATATGATACCCAACACCATAAGTCAAATTGGGAGGAGGGATGTATTATTATATAAAGGTTATTTATGCTGAATGTCATTGCGATACTAATGGTTATAAGTCAATTTTTGGACGTCTAAGGTATTTTCTAAAGGGGGGTTTATATGGGGGCTATGGTCAAGCGACTGATCATTACAAAAATTTATGCCTATATAAAACTTAGTTGTGTCAATTTTTGGACAGATATGGATACGAAGTAGATATGAGTTAAAAAACCCCATATCGGGAGGTCAGGTTGTATGGATCGGTTTTAACCATTTTCAATGGACATCTTCCTTTTGCCGAAAAACACGTATTGTGGCCTGTAGCTTGCGCACAAGGTTTACATGGACAGTTAGCCGGACAGACGGACTCGGAAAGTGATTCTGATTCGATCGTATATCGTATCTCGTTTATTTATAGTTTGTTATCTTACTAAAACTACTCACCCACAAATTCCATGGAAAAGAACCATGACATAGCGAAAAAATCCATTCGAAAAACCAAAGCAATACCGGCATATATAAAATCACTTGGACTTGACCAATGGCCACGATTTGTGTCCGGAACAAATGGACGAAGGCCAGTTTCGTAAGATGTTTCATAAACCATAATTAATTGAATTTAATTAAATTTTTACACAGATTGAACATAAATTATTTGACCTTGACAATGAATACGAATACACTTTGTTTTAAATTACAGTTTAATTTCTTATCTTAATGTAGACTCTCAGTAGACAAGTTTAAGAGGCGTAGTTTTAATTATTTATAAGAATTTATAAATTTTAAATTATTAGTTTTTTGTTCTTGTTTTATTTACTACACTTGTATTAATTATTAGATTTGTTTATGTTTATCAAAAACAAAAAAAAAAAAAAAAAAAATGAAATCTGTTTTAAAATTCTTGCCATAAAGCTCGATCTAATTAGTTGAAGCTTTGGCACACGACTAAAAACTGTGATGACAAATGCAAAGTGAATTAGTACTAAGTAAATTAATAAATATAAATAATGTTTACATATAAATATTTGTCTTCTTTATTTATAAATTTGTTATGCGTTGGGAATTCTAATGGACTCTCGTTTACATTTCCGATTATTTTGTTTATGTGATTATCACAAAACACTTGTTTTTGTTTAAGATCGAGAATTTCTGCAAATACTTAATCAAACATATTGTGGAAAAATCAAGTGCATGAAATGACATTGTCGTCACCACTATAAATATTGTAGTGTCGATAGCATCCATGACTTTAATATTCGCAACTATGGATGCCAATTGTAAGTTAATAAATCCGGGGTTTAGTTTATGGATATATGTAGATTTTATATATCGATCCAATATATAAAGATAAATTAGGGTGATTTAGGGGATAGTCCTTAAAAAAATCATTATACCCTACAACACGATAGTTTGTAGGTTATTATGGGTTTACGCTGATCATTCAGAATCATTTTCTAAATCCATTAAATCCATGTAAACAAACTAGAAGACGCAATTGTTAGAATAATATTAAAAATGGTTGAAATCTTAAACTTATTTCGCATGGTCCTCATAGAACTGTACCACTCGACTAGGGCTTTGGAACTCATAGTTCCACGATTAATAGTATCTCTACAAAAAGCAACGCATAATAGCTATACCCAGTGTGCTTTTTAAAGATTCTTGCTCTAATAATTTTCAGATACACGATTCTTTGCATTTAATTCATGTGGGATATGCTACGCCAACAATTGCAAGTTCACCAATTTTTCCCATGTTTATATTTCACTCATATGGGAGATCCCGAAATGTAACCGTGAATGTCAAAGTTGTTCATGTAAAATAGATTAACTGTAGACTAGACTATAGACTAGACTATAGGCAAGACTATAGACTATACTGTGGACTAGACTATAGACTGGACTATAGACTTAACTATAGACTAGACTATAGACTGGACTATAGACTAGACTATAGACTAGACTTTAGATTAGACTATAGACTAGACTATAGACTAGACTATAGACTAAACTAGACTATAGACTAGACTATAGACTAGACTAGACTATAGACTAGACTATAGACTAGACTAGACTATAGACTAGACTAGACTATAGACTAGACTATAGACTAGACTATAGGCTAGACTATAGACTAGACTATAGACTAGACTATAGACTAGACTATAGACTGGACTATAGACTAGACTATAGACTAGACTATAGACTAGACTATACTATAGACTAGACTATAGACTAGACTATACTATAGACTAGACTATAGACTAGACTATAGACTAGACTATAGACTAGACTATAGACTGGACTATAGACCAGACTATAGACTAGACTAGACTATAGACTAGACTATAGACTAGACTAGACTATAGACTAGACTATAGACTATAGACTAGACTAGACTATAGACTAGACTATAGACTAGACTATAGGCTAGACTATAGACTAGACTATAGACTAGACTATAGACTAGACTATAGACTGGACTATAGACTAGACTATAGACTAGACTATAGACTAGACTATACTATAGACTAGACTATAGACTAGACTATACTATAGACTAGACTATAGACTAGACTATAGACTAGACTATAGACTAGACTATAGACTAGACTATAGACTAGACTATAGACTGGACTATAGACCAGACTATAGACTAGACTATAGACTAAACTATAGACTAGACTATAGACTAGACTATAGACTAGACTATAGACTAGACTATAGACTAGACTATAGACTGACTAGACTAGACTATAGACTAGACTAGACTATAGACTAGACTATAGACTAGACTATAGACTAGACTATAGACTAGACTATAGACTAGACTATAGACTAGTCTATAGACTAGACTACATTCTAGATCTAATAGTTTCTTTATATGGGCGGTAACACGTCCACTAAAGCCAGACTGTCCATTTTGTCCCATATGTTCATAAGGTCAAAGTTGTCCATAAACAATTTGAGTTCTGGTGTAATTATACGACTTTTAATATTTATTTTGTAAGTGGGCGTAGCACCTAAATGAACATTAAAATTTGAGGGGGCTTTATATTGGGGCAAGGGTCAAATGAGCCACGATCATTATGAAATTTGGCAGGGTTATCAAGGCTTATACTATATAACTTGGTTGTTTTTCGAAATACTAGCATATTTAATATAATTATGATATCAAAATTCGAGGGAATTTAGTTGTATGGGGGCTAAGTGAAATAATATACCGAATTGAAAAATGGTATCTTTAAATTTTGGCGTTAATTTCAGCAATTTCCATTTTGGTACCACCCTAATGTATATATATATACTATATATATATACTATAAAAATAAATGGGATTTTAGAAAATCTGTTTTTATAGCCACCATCAAAAAAGATGGGGGGTATATTGATTTTGTCATTCCGTGTGTAACACATCGAAATATTGTTCACAGACCCCATAAAGTATATATATTCTGGGACCTCGTAAGATTCTAAGACGATCTAGCTATGTCCGTCCGTCTGTCCGTCTGTTGTCTGTTGTTGGCACGATAGCGTCCACAAAAAAAGAAATATTGAGATGAAATTTTCCCAAAATATTTTTTATTGATCAGAAATGTTTGGTATTGAAAATGGGCAAAATCGGTCAACGATTTCACATAGCCCCCATACAAATGTACCCCCGGAATATTGTGTAAAAAGCTTCAAACATTCACAAATTCGTTGTTTATGAAGCAAATGGCACAAAATTTAGCATAAGTCAGTTTTTTGACCTCCGAAATAAAATTCTGAATTATGTCGGACATAGAACCACAATTGGCCCTACCCCCCATATAAGGTCCCCTTTTGAAAATTACTATAATTCTGATTACTGGCTTAAACATACGAATATAGCGACGAAATTTGCTAAACATGGGTTTCTTGCCAAGCCAATATCTCTCCACCAAACTATATGTGGATCGGTCCATAATTGACCCAACCCCCCATATAAGGTCCCCTTCAGAAAATGACATTAACGGTCCCTAACAGAAAATTACTTTAACGCTCATTACTGGCCTAAAAAAGCGAGTAAGGCGATGAAATTCGATATAGTTTTGTATGAGCTAACATCTCTCTACAAAATTTTGTGGGGATCGGTCCATAATTGACTCTACCTTTCATTTAAGGTCCCCATCAGAAAATAACTTAAACGCTCATTACTGGCGTAAATGAAATTCGATGCAATTCGACATAAACTAATTTATAGCTAAAATCTCTCTACCATATTTTATGAGGATCGGTCCATAATTAACCTTAACCCCGTATAAGGTCCCTTTAAGAAAATGACTTTAATGCTCATTACTGGCTAAAAAATACAAGTAGATCTATGAAATTTGAAATAAATAAACTGAAATCTTCCTACCGACTTTTGTGAGAATTGGTCCATATGTGTATATATAACCCTACTCCCTATATAAATTAACATATTTAATTCGAAAGAGCACTGTCAATAGTTAAACCCCCATTAATGGACCTCTTTCAAATATTACAATGATGTTCTCATTAATATCGATACATAATAATAAAATATTCAAAATATCAAAGTTTATTTATGTGACAGTGATTTGATGGTGGGTATATAAGATTCGGCATAGCCGAATATAACACTCTTACTTGTTTTGCTTGAGATTAATTGGAATTTTTGTTCCTGATAATATAATAAACAAAATTTAATTGAAAAATATTGCCTCTTAAGATGGGAAAACCCTTTATTAGACATTTACTGATTCATTATAAAATGAGAACCAATTAAAACATTATAAAATTCTCTAAAAACTTTAAAAATTACGGAATTTTTGTGATTCATTTCAATTATTTTTAACATATTGTACTGTGATCAGGATTTTCTATCGCTGGTAGGGAGCTGAGGTTCTTTAAAAAATACTTTTTATACCCACCATAAAAAAAATTCCGTTTGTAACACATCGAAATATTGATCATTGACCCACAAAAGTATATATTTATATTCTGTGTCCTTATTAAATTCTAAGACGATCTAGCCATGTCCGTCCGTCTGTCTGTTGAAATCACGATAGGGACCACACGGTAGGAGCTAGACAGTTGAAATATTCTCTATTGCTAAGGTTTGTTTGGTATTGAATATGGGCGATATCGGTCCACGTTTTCGGACCCCAAAAAACAGTTTTAAAGCGCATAACTGTTTTAAAAATACGAATATACCGATGAAATTCGACATAAATAAGTTTCATATGAGCCTAAATGAGTATCGGTCCATAATTGGCCTTACCAACCCCCCCCCCCCACATATAAGGTCCCCTTCAGAAAATGACTTTAACGCTCATTACTGGCTTAAAAGTACGAGTGTAACGATGAAATTCGACATAAGTAAGTTTCTTATGTACTAAAATCACTCTACTGACTTTTAAGAGTATCGGCCTATGAACGACCCTATCCCCCATATAAGGTCCCCAGCAGAAAATTACTTTAACACTGGCTTATAAATACGATTAAAGCGATGAAATTTGACACACATATGTTTTATACGAGCCGAAATCTCTCTACATAAATCTAAATTTAGTGAGGGTCGGTCCATAATTGACCCTACCTCCATATATGTCCCCTCCAACAAATTACTTAAACGATCATTGCTCCCATAGAAGGTCCACTTTCGAAAATCACCTTAATGCACTTAAGTAATTAAGAAATAAGGAGATATTGGAATAATATTAGACATAAATATGTTTTGTGTATACATATATGACTTTAACAAATTTGTTCCGGATCGGTCCATATTTGGTCATACCCGTTATATATGATCCACTTCCGAAAATCGTATATTTCGTTGATAGATAAAAGTATCGGAATAAAATTTAGCACATATAGGTTTTTTGTATATACAAATAACTCCGATATTTTTTCCTGGATATGCCACATATAAGGTCCACTTCTGAAAATTATTTAAACGCACATATATTATTGGCAAAAATAAATATCGATATAAAACCTAACATGAGAATATTTTGTTTATATACAAATCATTCTGAAAAAAAACTTCGGATCATTGCAAACTTGGTCCTAGCTCTCATATAAGGTGAACTTCCTTAAGTCACTTAATCTCCTATACATATTTTATTAATATATAAGGATTAAATCCGACATACTAGGTTTTGTGTATCGATAAATCATTCTGCGAAATTTTGTTTGGATTGGCCAATAAATGGACTTATGGACTTGATCAAAATTTGCTTCATAGATGTTTTCTATTAAGTATTAAATAATAGCACCCTCATCACGGAAGCAAAATTTAAACTTACACAATTTATTAAATACGCATCTAAAAATATTTAGATAGGTTTTTATAAAAAGTATCTCACAGGTGGATGTTACTTAAGATTCGGCAAAGTCGAATATAGCACTTGACAACTTGATACATATATTTTTGTGATTTAAATGTTGTTTTAATAAATAATCAGTGTATGTTGGAACTAAGAAAATTAGTTTCTTAGTTCCAAGATTTTACTCCTGAAATCCTTTTTGGAAATTAGCTAGAGTAACATAGCCATTCCTAAGAACAAGTACTTTTCGTTCACTTAATTTATTTTGTATTTGGGGTATCGGTACACGATGTCATTAATTCCACATGCTAATGTCCTCTTGCAATACTGTTTAAACAGCCATAAAAATTTTTATTATGCAAGAATATTGGTTGGAAAAATTCTAAGTCCCCAGTTATCATACTGTTAAGTATGGGGAAATTGGGCCATATTATAATCATAATAATTATTAATATCGTTTCGAAATTAGATATGAACAAATTATTCGTTTATTATAAATTAAACTCTTTATTATAACCTGATATTCTTAAATCTCATATTAGTATTTATAAAGATACACCTAAATAGCTAATTAAAAGAAATCGTGTTTGTAATTTAAGTTGCCATTACATTCGCATCGTTAATTTCATTAAGTTGATAGTTTCTATTAATATTTTCCAATTCGTCTTCATAACGCTGACGTTCCTCTTGCTCAACAGGATGCCAGTCGTGCGGTTTGCAACAATGCTGTAAACGGGGCTTACATGAACCGTTCCCTTTTTGGCATATACAATAGAAACCATAGACGGGTATTAACAGCCAGGGAATAATAATATATATAAAAGCCAAGACTGTCATTAAATAATGCGTTGATTCGTGAAAATAGTTAGCCAAAATAAAGCCATAAAACTGGAAAAAGTAATTAAATTGAAAAGATGAAAGTGAAAAGTTATCTAAATCAGTTAATAATTTAGAATATTTCTTAAATTCTTTAGAAAAAGTATCAAGAATATGAAAATATGTATGTATATAAAACTTACCAAAGCCAGCAATATTCCCAAAGGAACCACAAACCTGAGAACATAAATTTTCCATGTGGAAAAACGTTTATTTATCATAAATTCTATATCACGTTGGAAACGCTCACGACCATAGACCCATAATACGACCAGTATTAATAGTAAATTAATAGCAGTTTGTGATACGTAAACATCGGTTAAGAGTGTCACGAAATATACTAGACCATGCTACATATTAGCAGAACAAATTTCGTGTGAATATATTTTTTCTTGAAATTAAAAAAAAAATATCCCACTTACATTAGAGGTGAAGTATAATGAAATGACAACTGTGGCGGCTATTAGACCCATACATACTTTTACTTTATGCTCTCTCAAGTTTGCGAATTCATCAAATATTGTGGTTAGTATTGTATATAATTGCATGATCTGAAAGAAATAATAATTAGTTGTAAGGTTTACAGGGAGGAGAAAGCAGAGGCGACGGAACCAGACACCCGCCGGCCGGGGAGGGGGACGGAGGAACGAAACGAACGAACGAACGAACGAACGAAACGAACGAACGAACGAACGAAACGAAGAACGAACGAACGAACGAACGAACGAACGAACGAACGAACGAACGAAACGAACAAACGAAACGAACGAACGAACGAACGAACAACGAACGAACGAAACGAACGAACGAACGAACGAACGAACGAACAACGAGAACGAACGAACGAACGAACGAACGAAAACGAACGAAGAACGAACGAACGAACGAACGAACGAACGAACGAAACGAACGAACGAACGAACGAAAACGAACGAACGAACGAACGAACGAAAACGAACGAACGAACGAAACGAACGAACGAACGAACGAACGAACGAAGAACGAACGAACGAACGAACGAACGAAGAACGAACGAACGAACAACGAACAAAACGAACGAACCAACGAACGAACAACGAAAACGAACGAACGAACGAACGAACGAACGAAACGAACGAACGAACTAACGAAAAAACGAACGAACGAACGAACAAACTAACGAACGAACGAACGAAAAACGAAGAACGAACGAACGAACGAACGAACAATAACGAACGAACAACGAACTAAACTAACTAACACTAACGAACGAATAACGAAAACTAAAACTAACGAACGAAACGAACTAACGAACGAACGAACAACTAACGAACTAACTAACGAACTAACTAACTAACTAACTAACGAACGAACTAACGAACTAACTAACTACTAACGAACTAACAAACACGAACTAACGAACTAAACGAACTAACTAACGAACTAACTAACTAACTAAACGAACTAACTGACTAAACTAACTAACAACTAACTAACTAACGAAAACTAACTAACGACGAACTAACGAACGAACGAACGAACGAACTAACGACTAACGAACGAACGAACGAACGAACTAACGAACGAAACGAACGAACGAACGAACGAACGAACGAAAACGAACTAACGAACGAACGAAGAACGAACGAAGAACTAAGAACGAACTAACAATAACTAACTAACTAACGAACGACAACGACTAACTAACTAACGAACGAAAACGAACGAACTAACGAACTCTACTAACGAACTAACGAACTAACGAACTAACTAACGAACTAATAACTAACTAACTAACGAACGAAACTAACTAACTAACTAACGACTAACTAACTAACTAACTAACTACGAACGAAAACGAACTAAAACTAACGAACGAACGAACGAACGAACTAACGAACGAACTAACGAACTAACGAACGAAAGAACGAAAAAACGAACTAACTAACGAACGAACTAACGAACGAACAACGAACGAACTAACGAACTAACTAACTAACTAACTAACTAACTAACAACTAATAACTAACTAACAAAAACTAACTAACTAACTAACTAACTAACTAATTAACTAAACTAACTAACTAACTATCTAACTAACTGACTAACTAACTAACTAACTAACTAGACCTCTATCGGAATCGATACAAAACCATTAATCTACCGTAGGCCACAACTAACTATAAATTTCGTTAGAATAAGGACTGTGTATATTACTCACAATTAAAAGCATGCCTGATAAAAACAGCATTAAATAAAGTAAAATTGACCACAAGTTTGCCCAAGCCATATGGGATATAGCACTACCGCTTGTTAAATGTAAAAACCAAACTTTTTCCTCATCCGAAGGATAATAATAAACAGCCTCTTCTGTAAACGAAAATTTTAATTTTATTTAATGAATATTTAAATTGATCATACAACAACTTACCCCTATAATATTGCCATATGAACTTTACCATCACATCCAAACCAACAACTATACCCAACTGCCCCAACGCAATTATCCAACTTTGTTTCATAACATTCGTTTTGAATTTATTAAAACTTGATAATGTTATGAACATACCCCAGCCAGGTCCAAAAGCGGTTATACCATAAACTGGTATTGACAAAGCGATTTCAATAATATCATCCCAAACAAGTGTAATATGACGTTTAAATACTTTACCCGAACCGGGTAAAAAGCTTAAGCGTATTAATAATATTAACAAAAGTCCCAGTAATGTCCAAACCGTATAACGAATAATTTGACTGAACTGCAAGAGAAAATTATGGGTTTTATTTGTATAGACTCGCTTAAATTACGTTTTAATAAAATTTTGAATATTAGCAAAACAATATAATATTTGAGTGTGGGAATATATTTCATTCGAAACAATAGAGCCAATTGAATTTAACTTACTTTCTTGGTATTGAAGAATTTATAAAAAAATATAATCACAACGGTCCAAACTAAAATGGCACAAACAATCAATTGCCACGACACGGAAAACTCAACATCCTTATACGACAACACATTTATATCGTTAAACAGTGATCTGTGAAAAACAAAAGAAAGAAAACTTTTTTAAAATATACATAAAATATGTACTGTAAGGAACATATCGACGACTCAAAACTAAGAAGACATTATCATTAGTCCCAGTAGTAGTTTGATTACACGACTCAGTGATTCTGACTAGATTCGTATGCTTTTACAGTGGGCATGAAACCATAGTTACAAAAATCAGTTCAAACACTTCCGAACTATATTCGTGTAAGATTTAAGCTATTATAACTTACTTAAAATACAACACTGAAGGTATCTGAATATTTAAATATATATAATCATCAGGATCGGAAACCATTGTATTGTTTTTATCAGGTAAAGTGCAAATCTAGAAATAAAGGTATATTAACAATATTTGAATATTATAATGAAGTCAAAATACGACTATATCTTACAGTTATCTCTTCTTCTATGTTCCATTTCCTGTAACCTTCGCAGCTCCAGGGTAATGTTGGCTGCAAGGAGCCAAACACGTAGACTAGAGGTATCACGGCGTAATTACTATAAAAAGATAGTGCACCAAGATTTAAGGCCAGCGTAATATAACCAATACCTGGGAATAATAAGATTAAATTTTTGATTTAAAAACATTTTACACTAAATAACACAAACCTTTAAAAAGAGGAGTTATACGAAAGGCAGAGATAAAACCACTACTTGAAAATTGACCCAAATATGATTGTATTACAATAAATGGTATTATATAGATGAATAAACCGATTAGATAAACAATCAACACAATAATAACTGAAAAAAAAAACAAATTATAAATAAATAAAAAAATTTTAAGTATTTTGCACTTCTAGGAAATTGACAATAGACGTCTCAGAAACTCACTTTATCCTAAAGAACTATTTCGGAATTAATGCATACTGACTGCACTTATGATTGTATAAGCTTTCTTTTGACCAAAAAAATGGAATACTCCCTTATAAACATTAGGATGAAATTAGGAATGGGGTTTTATGCCAGTAATAAGCGATAAAGTAATTTTCTGAATGGGGCCTTATATTCCGTATTAAATTTCTATAAATACTGCTTATATCTAATTTTATAATTTCATCGCTATACTCGTTTTTTAAGCCAGTAATGAGCGTTAATTTTCTAAAGAGGGCCTTAAATGAGGGGTAGGGTCAATTATGTACCGATTTTTCGGTAGAGACATTTTTGCTCGTAAGAAACTTATTTATGTCGAATTTCAGCGCTATACTCGTATTTTCAATCCGTAATGACCGTTAAAGTTATTTTTTGATTGGGCCCTTATATGGGGAATGGAGTCAAATGAGGATCGGTCCTCATAAAAGATGGTGGTATTTTGAAAAAAAAACTAATTTGGAAACAATGAAGATATAGCTATCTAAACTCCTTTGGACATTTTTTGTTAGGACCAGTAGGAGAAAAGTTACACTCATTTGAATAAAAGCCTCTAAGTCCGGCAGTTCTTGACCGATAGATCTTAAAATTTGTGTATGGCATATTATCCAATAGTACTAACCTTGGTGCAACCAAATCGGAAGGCATTGATTTTAAAAGTTGGATCATTTGACATGAAATTGCATAGATATATCTGTATCTCAATGAATCCGAAATCCATAAATATATCTGCATCTCGAAAAGTACAATGAGCCTGCCATATTTCATAATGGACAGATCTCATTTGACCCTAGCCCTCATACAAAGCCCCCTTTCCAAAATGAATCGAATGTAAATTCACCTATAAACAATAATATCGCGATGAAATTCGGCATAAAAAACAAGTAAGAAACTATAGGCGGACATGATCCAAATCGGAAGGTCCGGATGTAGGGGGCTAGGGAAGATATTGGGCCAATCTTTATAAAATTTATTGTAGGGATTTGTTTATATAGAACTTATTTGTTCCAAATTTCATCGTGATACTAGTGTTTATAAGTGAATTGTGGACATTCAAGTCATTTTCTGAAGGGGACTTTGTATTGGGCCCGATCATTATTAAAATCGGCACTGTCATTTAGACTTACATAAAACTAAGATTTGCCAATTTGTGCTGGCTACAAAAAGCCAGAAGCTAAATGATAAATAAAATGTCTAAAATTAGGCTAAAATGGGAATCACTGGCCCGATATTGTCAATTTTCAATATCAAACAAACCTTAACTGTATTGAATACTCAATCCTATAGCTCTCTCCGTTCGGACTCTATCGTGCTTTCAACATACAGGCAGAGAGACGGACATGGCTAGATCTTCTTAGAATTTAATAAGAACCCAGAATATATGTATATACTTTTGTGGGTCTATGACCAATATTTCTATGTATAACAAACGGAATTACAAAATCAATATACCCCCATATTTTTTGATGGTGTGTATAAAAAACAATTAATTCATTATATTTAGTAAGTAGTAAAAACTGAATCGATTTGCATTGTATTTCTTCTTAATATGTATGCGTATTTAATAACGATGAACTCATACACAAATATGTAAACAGATCATGTTTCTGCCTTTAGACTTTTTAGTAATTAATATAGATTCTATTATGAATCCATATTAATTGATATTTGTATGCATGTACCATTTAAATTAAATAGCGCCGATACAAATTACAAATAAAATCATTCACTTTTCAATAAAAAATTTGTAATATAAAATACTAGCTAAACCCAATGTAAGCATTGCCCGCACAAATTTGGACTCTAGTTGTATCATATTCCGAGATATTCGGATTTTAAGGAAGTGTGCGTGGCACCTCTCCCACAATTTAAAAATAAAAAGTAGGTTATTGTTCCTTCTAAATAGATAGATAGATAGATAGATAGATAGATAGATAGATAGATAGATAGATAGATAGATAGATAGATAGATAGATAGATAGATAGATAGATAGATAGATAGATAGATAGATAGATAGATAGATAGATAGATGATAGATAGATAGATAGATAGATAGATAGATAGATAGATAGATAGATAGATAGATAGATAGATAGATAGATAGATAGATAGATAGATAGATAGATAGATAGATAGATAGATAGATAGATAGATAGATAGATAGATAGATAGATAGATAGATAGATAGATAGATAGATAGATAGATAGATAGATAGATAGATAGATAGATAGATAGATAGATAGATAGATAGATAGATAGATAGATAGATAGATAGATAGATAGATAGATAGATAGATAGATAGATAGATAGATAGATAGATAGATAGATAGATAGATAGATAGATAGATAGATAGATAGATAGATAGATAGATAGATAGATAGATAGATAGATAGATAGATAGATAGATAGATAGATAGATAGATAGATAGATAGATAGATAGATAGATAGATAGATAGATAGATAGATAGATAGATAGATAGATAGATAGATAGATAGATAGATAGATAGATAGATAGATAGATAGATAGATAGATAGATAGATAGATAGATAGATAGATAGATAGATAGATAGATAGATAGATAGATAGATAGATAGATAGATAGATAGATAGATAGATAGATAGATAGATAGATAGATAGATAGATAGATAGATAGATAGATAAATAAATAAATAAACTTTAAATTAAACTTACTATTCTTCTCCAATAAATAAAACCAAGGCAATGAAAACATATCCAGCCGAAAGGCCAAACCCAGACCAGCATAAATGAAATCATTTGGATTGACCCAGTAACCACGCTTAGTATCGGGTATGAATGAACTACAGTCACTTCCGTGTGGCATTTTTAAATCAACAAAATCTTTTCACAGTTCTTAGAAACAAATTTAACATAAATTGAGTTCAATGATACAAAACTATGAAAATATTACAGGAAATTAAAAGGAAACAAAAAGAAAATATTGTGGAAATTAAACACGCAAGTTCGAAAAATTTTCGAGTTCAATAATTTGATTTTTGTATATTTTAATAATTTTATTATTAACTTGTTTGCTTTTAGGCTGTTTGGTTCTTATTATTAGAAGCATCGACGAAAGACTGATGTGTAAAAATAAATAAAATAAAATGCAAAATACAATTTTGCTATGCAATTGGAATGCTAATGGGAACAAAACAAACATACACAATTTTTACATAATTACATCTTATAAATCCTAAATTTTTCTCTGATGCTCTATACGCAATGTTATCTAGTCCCAACTCAAATTCTGCTGAATTATAGTGCAAGTATATGTGAACATTGGACCATATTTGGAACAATAGGTTTTATTGTTGTTATAATCGATAGTCTATCGTCTAGTCTATAATCTAGTCTATTGTCTAGTCTAAGTAGTCTAGTCTATAGTCTAGTCTATAGTCTAGTCTATAGTCTAGTCTATAGTCTAGTCTATAGTCTAGGTCTATAGTCTAGTCTATAGTCTAGTCTATAGTACTAGTCTATAGTCTAGTTCTATAGTCTAGTCTATAGTCTAGTCTATAGTTAGTCTATAGTCTAGTCTCTAGTCTAGTCTATAGTCTAGTCTATAGTCTAGTCTATAGTCTAGTCTATAGTCTAGTCTATAGTCTAGTCTATTATCTAGTTAGTCTATAGTCTAGTCTATCGTCTAGTCTATAGTCTAGTTCTATAGTCTAGTCTATAGTCTAGTCTATAGTCTAGTCTATAGTCTAGTCTATAGTCTAGTCTATAGTCTAGTCTATGTCTAGTCTATAGTCTAGTCTATAGTCTAGTCTATAGTCTAGTCTAGTCTAGTCTATAGTCTAGTCTATAGTCTAGTCTATAGTCTAGTCTATAGTCTAGTCTATAGTCTAGTCTATAGTCTAGTCTATAGTCTAGTCTATAGTCTAGTCTATAGTCTAGTCTATAGTCTAGTCTATAGTCTAGTCTATAGTCTAGTCTATAGTCTAGTCTATAGTCTAGTCTATAGTCTAGTCTATAGTCTAGTCTATAGTCTAGTCTATAGTCTAGTCTATAGTCTAGTCTATAGTCTAGTCTATAGTCTAGTCTATAGTCTAGTCTATAGTCTAGTCTATAGTCTAGTCTATAGTCTAGTCTATAGTCTAGTCTATAGTCTAGTCTGTAGTCTAGTCTATAGTCTAGTCTATAGTCTAGTCTAGTCTATAGTCTAGTCTATAGTCTAGTCTATAGTCTAGTCTAGTCTATAGTCTAGTCTATAGTCTAGTCTATAGTCTAGTCTGTAGTCTAGTCTATAGTCTAGTCTATAGTCTAGTCTAGTCTATAGTCTAGTCTATAGTCTAGTCTATAGTCTAGTCTATAGTCTAGTCTATAGTCTAGTATAGTAGTCTATAGTCTAGTCTATAGTCTAGTCTATAGTCTAGTCTATAGTCTAGTCTATAGTCTAGTCTATAGTCTAGTCTATAGTCTAGTCTATAGTCTATAGTAGTCTATAGTCTAGTCTATAGTCTAGTCTATAGTCTAGTCTATAGTCTAGTCTATAGTCTAGTCTATAGTCTAGTCTATAGTCTAGTCTATAGTCTAGTCTATAGTCTAGTCTATAGTCTAGTCTATAGTCTAGTATATAGTCTAGTAGTCTAGTCTATAGTCTAGTCTATAGTCTAGTCTATAGTCTAGTCTATAGTCTAGTCTATAGTCTAGTCTATAGTCTAGTCTATAGTCTAGTCTATAGTCTAGTCTATAGTCTAGTCTATAGTCTAGTCTATAGTCTAGTCTATAGTCTAGTCTATAGTCTAGTCTATAGTCTAGTCTATAGTCTAGTCTATAGTCTAGTCATAGTCTAGTCTATAGTCTAGTCTATAGTCTAGTCTATAGTCTAGTCTATAGTCTAGTCTATAGTCTAGTCTATAGGTCTAGTCTATAGTCTAGTCTATAGTCTAGTCTATAGTCTAGTCTATAGTCTAGTCTATAGTCTAGTCTATAGTCTAGTCTATAGTCTAGTCTATAGTCTAGTCTATAGTCTAGTCTATAGTCTAGTCTATAGTCTAGTCTATAGTCTAGTCTATAGTCTAGTCTATAGTCTAGTCTATAGTCTAGTCTATAGTCTAGTCTATAGTCTAGTCTATAGTCTAGTCTATAGTCTAGTCTATAGTCTAGTCTATAGGTCTAGTCTATAGTCTAGTCTATAGTCTAGTCTATAGTCTAGTCTATAGTCTAGTCTATAGTCTAGTCTAGTAGTCTAGTCTATAGTCTAGTCTATAGTCTAGTCTATAGTCTAGTCTGTAGTCTAGCTCTATAGTCTAGTCTAGTAGTCTAGTCTATAGTCTAGTCTAGTAGTCTAGTCTATAGTCTAGTCTATAGTCTAGTCTATAGTCTAGTCTAGTCTATGTCTAGTCTATAGTCTAGTCTATAGTCTATAGTCTAGTCTATAGTCTAGTCTTAGTCTAGTCTATAGTCTAGTCTATAGTCTAGTCTATAGTCTAGTCTATCGTCTAGGTCTATAGTCTAGTCTATAGTCTAGTCTATAGTCTAGTCTATATCTAGTCTATAGTCTAGTCTATAGTCTAGTCTATAGTCTAGTCTATAGTCTAGTCTATAGTCTAGTCTATAGTCTAGTCTAGTCTATAGTCTATAGTCTAGTCTAGTCTAGTCTAGTCTATAGTCTAGTCTATAGTCTAGTCTATAGTCTAGTCTATAGTCTAGTCTATAGTCTAGTCTATAGTCTAGGTCTATAGTCTAGTCTATAGTCTAGTCTATAGTCTAGTCTATAGTCTAGTCTATAGTCTAGTCTAGTCTAGTCGTCTATAGTCTAGTCTAGTCTAGTCTAGTCTATAGTTCAGTCTAGTCTAGTCTAGTCTAGTCTAGTCTATAGTCTAGTCTATAGTCTAGTCTATAGTCTAGTCTATAGTCTAGTCTATAGTCTAGTCTATAGTCTAGTCTATAGTCTAGTCTATAGTCTAGTCTATAGTCTAGTCTATAGTCTAGTCTATAGTCTAGTCTATAGTCTAGTCTATAGTCTAGTCTATAGTCTAGTCTATAGTCTAGTATAGTCTAGTCTATAGTCTAGTCTATAGTCTAGTCTATAGTCTAGTCTATAGTCTAGTCTATAGTCTAGTCTATAGTCTAGTCTATAGTCTAGTCTATAGTCTAGTCTATAGTCTAGTCTAGTCTAGTCTATAGTCTAGTCTATAGTCTAGTCTATAGTCTAGTCTATAGTCTAGTCTATAGTCTAGTCTATAGTCTAGTCTATAGTCTAGTCTATAGTCTAGTCTATAGTCTAGTCTATAGTCAGTCTATAGTCTAGTCTATAGTCTAGTCTATAGTCTAGTCTATAGTCTAGTCTATAGTCTAGTCTATACTCCAGTCTATAGTCTAGTCCATAGTCTAGTCTAGTCTATAGTCTAGTCTATAGCCTAGTCTATAGTCTAGAGTGTAGTCTAGTCTATAGTCTAGTCTATAGTCTAGTCTATAGTCTAGTCTATAGTCTAGTCTATAGTCTAGTCTATAGTCTATTCTATAGTCTAGCCTATAGTATAGTTTAGTCGAGTCTAAATTCTAGTCTATAGTGAGTATATAGTCTAGCGAATATTAGTTTAGTACTTTAAGGGCCATTATCTCAACCTCCGATTAACCTTTAACCGATAGATATTCTGCCGGATAAAATAATTTTTGTATGAAAACTGTCAATTTATCCTTAGGATAAAAATTAATCAGACATTGAGAAAAATACTAATTTTAGTGCTATGTTAAAATGTAAATTTTCCATGCCTGGTTGATATGTTTATTGTATAATTGATAAGCATTAGATTGATTTGAAAATATGCATGTATTAACTAGTTCTATTTAGCAGAAGCTTTGATGAGTGGAAGATGAATAAAGAAAATTACAAACAAAAATAATCTAATAATCTAATCACCAGGGAAACCGAAAACATGCTTTAAAAAAAGTGTTTTAAGCGCTTTAAATATGCCGTAAAAAACTCAAAATATGCTCTTAAAATTTTAAATATATGCTCCAAAAATAAAATTTTTAATTATTTTTAACATTGAAAAGCTCGAAAAGACTGAAATTGTAATGAAATAATAAATGTTTATTGTCATATTCTATATCCTACAAGATTTTTTTATAAATGTTTCATCTCATAGTTTGAAGAATTAGTTTAATAGAATTCCGTTTTACGTTCAGATAACCAATAAATAACATTTATTGGTTATCTGAATTTTGGTCCCCAAAAAACATATTTCAAACGACAAAGTTTGACACATTTCTTCCAATTGTATTCATAGCTTTTAAACTGACATTTTAATCGGTGTTGTCATAAATTCCAATAATTAGTTTTTTAAACTATAAAAATGGATTGGTTTCATGAAATCAAAAGTAATCGGTTTTATGTCCGATTTAAAATGTAATGCTTTATTGAATAAAAAACTATAACATTGGTTTTCATGAGAGTAATGTATTTTTTGCAGTTTTCAAGTTCTAAAAACGTTTTTTTTTTCAAAATTGTAAAATAGGCTAAAAAATTAAAAAAAAAACAAGTAAGAAAGTATAGTCGGGCGTGGCCGACCATATGATACCCTACACCAGTTATAAATATTAAATGTGATTTATTTTTCATAATATCGCATTTATCTTCAATATTCCCTTGTTCCGATACATTTAAGCAATTTATGGATGAAAAACTAATTTTCTGAAAGAGGCTTTATATGGGGGCTAGGGGCAAATATGGACCAAGCCCGATAAAATTTTGTGAATATTTTTATATTTACATAGTATTTTATTGTGCTGAATTTCATCGTGATATTTGTGTTTATAAGTTAATTGGGACATTCAAGTAATTTTCTGAAGGGGACTTTGTATGGGAGCTAGGGTCAAATGGGGCCCGATCTTTATGAAATTTGGCAGGGTTATCAAGACTTCTATAAAACTTAGTTGTGCCGTATTTTATCGATATATGTGTATATTTAACATAATTATGAGCTCAGAAGCCCTTTTCGGGGAGTTCTGTTCTATGGGGGCTAGGTGAAATAATGGACCGATTTTAACCATTCGTCCATTGGGTCAAATAAAACGTGCGTGCCAAATTTCATCCAATTATCTTGAAAAT